ATACTGAAGCATAACACTGATGTGTTTTATTAATTTTTGCTTTGAATGACGGATTAGGATCAATTTTTATAGGATGTCTTACTTGTCGTGTAGAAGATACTTACATTTACTGAGACAATCATGTTACATTCATCCGAAAAATTGTCAAATAACTAAATTTTTTTCAGCCCCGTTTTCTGCACAGCTACGGCGAGTTATCTTTATCCCTTATCCTAATCTCTTATACATAATCTTTAGCATGCAATTTGCTCTGATTTATTATCAAAATAGTTGTCAGTAGTTCTGTACCATAAACCTTTCACCCAAGTCATGGCTTCTGTTAGACTTGGCCTTGTCGAGTTTCAGTGATCACAAGATTTCTTTGTTGCAATATGTAAAATTTAAAGATAAATAGTCATTTCTACAGATTTGCTAATTATCCTTCTCTTTTCAAGGAAATTTCTCTTGCCTTTAGTGCAAGAACGACTGCTGGTTAAATACCAAATTAGCAGACCACCTTGTTTATATTACAATACAAGCAGCACGAATGAAACGATCCATTTACTTACTTATAACTAACCCTATTTAATAGGCTTTACCGATTTCAGGAACATTAATGCCTGAAAAAGCTTTCCTATTTATTCGAGGGAATATCCAAAATACAGATAACATGTTCAATTTTGCAGCCAGTGGAGAAAATGAATAACAACTTCTAGTGGACTATAAAAGGTTCTGATTCTTAATCATATCTGAGTTTTCCAAGAGAGGTTTGAAATCCAACAGGTTTGATCACTGTAATAGGAAAGTTGGTGGACAGGTATTATTACGTGCAATAATCATATCATGATTAAATTAACTCCATGGCCTTTGTGAAAAAGAACTTAAAAGTGGGAACAATGCATTTTTTTTTCTTTGGGAAGACGAAGGAAGCTGAATACGGTTCCAAATCTGCCTGCTATCTCGAACTGTCCTATTTTTACTTGAATTGATAGAGAAAGGAACAGATCAATCATGGAAATATGGTAAGAGTGCCGATATAATTTAGTGTTAGTATTTGCGTATATCAAATACATTGCAATTCTTCCTCCGCAAAAATCCTTTCGTAGCGCAATTTCTCACGATGATATTGTAATAATGAATGATAGACTTTGGGGAGAAAAAAAATTTTTCTAGAAAAAATATTTGTTGAAAAGATAAGATTTGAGTGATAACTGATAATTTTAACACTTTCACAAAAAAAATTTATTGGCACTTATCGATCGATTGGAAAACACACGTTGAGGATGCAATGATCATATACATTTAACGGTAAAATGTGCAGCACAAACGTATCGTTTGCTTGTATAACATCTAACAGCTGAAGAAATAAGAAACAGTGACGCTAAGTGCTATGAATATAATTGTGTCGTGACGGATGTGATATGCTTCACTACGACATGGTCTAGTAGATCTATGAGAGATACTCTGGTCAGTGCCTCGAATAGTCATTCGGTCATGATAAGTTACAAGAAGATCCAGGATAACACCATTTGTCCATCCAAAACCATCCTGGAAAAAGCAAAAAGCACTTGATCAGCTTCAATAATGAAGCAAGGGCATAAATATTTATCAAATAGCGTGAATTTCATAGTTAGGATACCTGTACATCATACTCGCCGCCAGCTCCTGGCTTGGGAATGGTTCCTGTGACATCAACCTGAACAAGTGGGAATGAGTATTAGATATGCCAATTGATCAGCTCTGGCTAATCGTAAATGAACAGAGACACCTATAGGAGACATCAATTTTACTGATATCAAAAGAGTTTTTTTTTAGAAGAGCTCGTAAAAATTTTTTGAAGATTTTTGTAGTATACAATGCAAGGTAGCTATGATGGATGGAGTATTTAGTCAATGGCCATACAAACGATGTCATGATACAAACTTCTCAAAAAGGTCAAGGTTGAGTCGAAAGACCAAAAACAAACCTTCTCCCACATTTTCTTGGTTGTATCATATATCTTATAATTAGCTAATATCCATTTTCGTGCTAATTTGAATGCCTATAAGAGCCTCACAATCAACTGTTACTGATTTTAGAATTTTAAAAATGCTTTCGTAGGATTTGGAAGGAATATATCAAAGATTTGAAAACAATTTAGACTGTTGCACAAAAGACATCAATATTAATTTACCATTTCTTGAGCTTCTGGATTGTCGGATTTTCGCATCCCTTCAATGATTATATGCTGCAAGGGAGGCCAACCGTTCGGCAAGTCCCACTGTTGCCCACTATTATTTAGACTTGTTGGTATACCACTTGGATAATCAAAGACGTGTGATCGCTAAAATAGGCTTCAAATTTATTTTAAAACTGAGGAAAGGACTGGCGTTGATGACTGACAATTTGCAAGATGTTAGAATACAAATGATACCGAAAGCAGTGAAAACTTTGAATCCAGTGCGGATTTCTACTATTTCGATTTACACCACATTGAAATTGGAATTATTTGTTGAATTCGACATTCATCAATTTTTCTGGCTCAACTGTCGTCCGAATTCTAGTATGCAGTACGTATCTCATAGCTCTCACTGTCTATGAAAGACATCGCAAAAGAAAATGGCAGAACCTACGTTCATAAAGTTAATAACTTTGAGCGATTTGTCATGGTTCAACATTGTGTAACAGCCTGTGAATAGAGGCATCGCAACGGTAGGATAGAATAAGACGTTATGCGATTTGGTGCGCAAATTGTAGTCGAACCAAGCTTTCTGTACATCGTTGTAAAATATGGCATTTAAGGTTTTCCAAGCATCTTGTCCCTTTTTCTCAAATTCTTCTGCTTTCTGCGCATTGCCTGTCATAATTGATTGTCACAGTTTTTTTCAGGAAAGAAAGTTCTAGATTATATCATAAAGAGGAAAGAAGCAGGAAATATACCAATGATATCAGCAAAATACTTGAGAATATTGATATTCCAACAAAGTAATGCATTAAGGTCGACTGGTAAAACATTAGTTGTTTCAATGGTTTTCATTGTTTTTCGATCTCTAAACCACCGTGACGAAAAGTCCCATCCGGATTCCGCCGCTGACGCAATATTCTGCAAAATAGCTGTTCTAATGACGTCCAATGGCAATTTCACTTGAATATAATATAATATATAAAAACAGTTCCTACGATATTTTACAAGCAACAGATTCGCATCGTTGTAGGACAGAATATCCTTTCATTTTACTTTATTGCACAAATATTAATACCTGAAAGAATTTTTGTCTCTCATTTTCTTCGATTTTTAAGGCAGCTTGCATATCTACTCGGAAGGATTCCGGACGAGGTACGTTTGAAGTAGTACGATACTGATATGCAATATGTTTATGTCCATTCTTATCTTCTACTTTCACTGACCTGATCTTATGTTTTCACTTGTTATTTTAAATTTCTGCTACTGTTCACCTTTTTAGGATCAAATAACGTCGTCTTGAAGGCAATGATATATTAGGCACGGAGATCGGAGATTATACCAACAAGTATATATAAGTTTCATCATCAACACATTGATCATTTCCATGAAAACTGAGGGAAATTTTCGGTTCAAAATTTACCGGAAAAATCCGGAAAGATTATTTTGTCTACCAATAAGTATTTCTCAATTATGTCCAAGTCCAAATAGATCTTTGCTGGTTATTTACCTTTTCTGCACCCAAAATTCATATTCTTTCACGAGATAATCGAAATTTTCTTTAATGAACTTGATATCTTTTGTGGCCTCGTAATATTCATATACCATTGGGATGAGAAATGGTGGTTGTGAACGTCTTAAATAATAAACACGTCCGCCATTCGGTACAAATCCGAACCTAAAATAAACGACTATCCTGGAACTGCACAATAATTCCAGTAGATTAAAAGAACAGTGGTGAAGTAAATCAGTATGTTCCTCTAACTCCTGCTACCTCGTTATTTGGATATGAAGTCATCTGGAACAACTATTTTTTTCTCTATTAATAGAGGAAAAATAGTTATTCCGAATGACGGGGAAGGAAGAATCCCGGGAACAACTGTAGAACATGATGAAATTGTAATCTTTCCTCTAAAAAATACTAGGCTCTACTTTTTATTAATCATTGGCTTTCATCAGTTTTTTCTTTTAGAAATTAATTAATAGCTATAAATTACTTCAATCTGTTGCATAAAAGTATCTTCAAGAAAACATCGCTGTGGGCTAACTGATTATATATTGTCCAATAAAATAACTCCCCTTAATCTTCCTGCTTATAGTGTTGTTCATAGTTTGTTCCTGCCTAACTTGATCTTTTATAAGTTGACATTTCTATTTCTTGGACGTTTATCTCGACCGGTGAGTACAGCTGCTGATATTGGTCTTGTATTTAGTGCAGTTTTACCGAAATCTATGTTTTAGAGTCCGATGATGAAACATGGACCAATATTAATTTGCTGCAACTCAAAATAAAAACTCATTTTTTGACACAATAGATGAAGTTCTTCAGCATGTTCTTGACCATCATGAAAAGGTCACTCGCAATCAAACCTTTTACAATCCAATATGCATCCCAATAGTAAAATTCTCTGAATCGACCTCCCGGCACAATGAATGGATGAGGTACTTCGATCAAGGAATTCCGTTTCGGATTCTTGATTTTAATTATCTTAAAATAAATTTATTAATCCATCCTTTAATTTTGGCTTAGTGAAAATATGATCCACAAATAACTGTTTCTTTAATGAATAAATAATTCTTCTTTCT